TTTGAAACTGCTTTTAATTTTCTTGAACAAAATAATATACAAGCAGATTATAATGAGTTAAAAGCTTTAAAATCATTAAAAAAAAAACAATAAAATCATATAGTATTCAAAATTCAATACAAACAAACATTACTAGTTTTTCAGTAAATAATTGACTATTAATTACCATTTAATTTTTTGTAAATTTTACTGTATTATATCAAGTATTGTATTAAGTATTATTATTATATTCAAAATTTAAATCACAAAAATTTTATTATTATTAAAATTTTCCTGTTGATCCTGTAGATCATTATCTCGTTTCAACGGATTTTTCGTTTCAACGGATTTAGGTGGCCAGTCCCATAGATCCGTTGAAACGAGGTTTGACTGTATTATAAGAAGGTAAATATAAAAAGTATAATATTTAACTTTTTGGTAAACTACTATTGACGAAAATAATGTCAACCAAGCTTAATTTTTCGAACATAAATAATATATATAACGCATTTTTTTTGTTCCAAAACACTTTCTTTTTTAAATTACAAAAAAAAAACCCCCCTTTGAAATATTTTAAATGAAAAATAATGTCGCTTGACAACAACAATAAAAATTATCGTGATATTATTCTTAATAGTGATGATGATAACACGTATTTTAGTATTTCACAAACTTCTTCAATTAAGAATGATAGTAGCAATGATGATAGTGGTTATATTGATTCTTCTCGGCAAATTGGTCGAAATGGAATATTTTCCTATAGTGATAGGCAAGTTTGTGCATTATGTGTGTGATAATATCTAATACTCGCATCATATATATATATATATATAACGGATATTGTTAATTTATAAAATAGGTTTATTCCTATCAGAAACAATGGTGATTTATATGCTGATTTTCAAAGAAGAGGAGTAGTCGCATCTTCGGTAAATTCAAAACCGATTAATAGAAAAAGAAAAAATCAATATAATGCTTCCGAAGAAGATCAAGGTACAATTGTTAGAAAACAAAGGCGATCAGAAATATTTATAATCATTTATTATAATTATTATTAATAATATTTTAGAAAATGATCATCTCCGCCAAACCATTTTATATAAAACATTATTGTCTTCAGATAAAAATGATGATGACATTAACATCGATATAATTCGAAATAATAATAATCGTAGCTATAATAATAATTATAATACTTACAACAATCATAACAACAAACAACGACAACAAATTTTAATACCAATTGAAAAGTTATTCACTTTTCAATCATCGAAAAGACAAAAGGCCAATAATTTGATTGATCACCCCTATAGAAATGCATATTCGACAACCCCATTCTCTCGCGAAATCGAAGAATTATTATCGACTGTTCGTAAAGGTCGGAGGATTTTTGATCAACAACCCTATCAAATGTTAGCCTTCTGCAATGAATTGATGCTCAAAGTAATAGATAATTTATAATTGTGTGTAAAATGCGATATAAATATTTATTACAAATCATATTTTATGTCTAGGACGACTTTTATTTAAATGTGGTGGATTGGTCAATTTACAATATATTAAGTTTGGGTTTAGAAAATATGATTTATCTTTGGAATACAGCAACTAAATGCGTAAATTTTTTCGTTGGTTTCTCATGTTATACATATTATGAGCATTAATATTATTTGTTTATTTATTTATTTATTTATTTATTTATTTATTTATTTATTTATTTATTTATTTATTTATTTATTTATTTACTTATTTACTTATTTACAGATGACACAGCTATGCGCTTTGGGTTCTTTATCATCCATCACATCTCTAAAATGGATACCAAACGTAATTAATAAACCAATTAAATGCAATTGAACGCAATTGAATCAAATTAATCGAATAACCAACCTATCATTTATAGGGTTCTCAACTTGCCGTTGGTACGGTAGACGGAAAGGTACAAATTTGGGATGTTGTCACTTCAACAAAAATTCGTGATTTCACTGGACATTCTTCACGCGTTGGTATGTCAATAATTAATTGATCGTAACAATTAATTTATTAATCGATCGTCGTGATTTTATAGGGGCTCTGGCTTGGAACAATAACGTACTTAGTACTGGTGGTGCTGATCGTATAATCTATCAAAGTGATCAAAGATGCACACAGGATTTCATCCAAACGTTTCAAGGACATAAATCAGAAGTATAGATATAAATATATATATAATTGTTTCTCTATATGATAATGACATATAATAATCCGATAAAATAGATTTGCGGTCTTAAATGGAATTCAGAAGGTGACCAATTAGCTAGTGGTGGTAATGCCAATGAATTATATGTCTGGGAAAAATCTAACGATCACGAACCAGCTTTGAAATTGGAAAAGCATAAAGCGGCTGTTCGTGCCTTGTCTTGGAGTCCTCATGATCGTAATATTTTGGTGAGTGGTGGTGGTCATTTGGATAGACAAATATGTTTCTGGAATACGTTGGATGGAAGATCGTTGGGTGTTCATAATTCCAAATCTCAGGTATTAATTAATAACACAGATTTGATTTGATGAATTGTCAATATAACAATTAATTATTGTAATGTAACATAATATACATAATATACATATAAATTTATTTGTATTTTTTATTATCACTGTTAGGTTTGTAATTTACAATGGTCACCTAACGCGAATGAAATAGTTTCGACTCATGGATGGTGGAAAAATGATGTGATAGTTTGGCAATATCCATCAATGAAAAAATTGGCCACTTTGAAAGGACACACATATCGTGTCTTGTATTTTTCTCTTGCACCTGACGGAGAAGATATTGTCACGGGAGCAGGGGGTGATGATAACACTTTAAGATTCTGGAAAATTTTTAATACCCCTCGCGATAAAAGTTTAAAGAAACCCGATTCTGTATTGAAATTGGACCGACTAATTCGTTAGATTGGTGAATCGAATTGGCGAAATGGATTATTATTTATATCTATTCTGTTATTTATTGCTTATTATTATAGAATTTGTAAATTACTGTATATACTGCTGTTATATCATACTCTATAATTAACATTATTTCTTATTAATTGATTGATTAATTTATCCCCGAAATTAACCTTCATATTCGCTGAAACTCTTTAATCACAGCTTGTAAAAAAATAGAAATTCCGATTCGTGTAACCAATCGGGTTTAAAATATCTCTATTGCTATTTTTATAACTCTTATAACAAATTCAAACGACATTGTTAATACTAATGAATCAATCAGCTTTCATATTGATAGAGAGTAGGTCTCAAAAAAAAAAAAAAAACAGCATTTATTTCTCATTCAAAACCATGTTTTTTCTCCAATGTTGATTATCTTTATAAACTTAACGAGTGGTTGTGAAGATGTAAAATATTATAAGCTTTCATATGGGTATAGCTTCATGTGGATTATCCAATACATAAATAGGGAAAGTGATAATTGGTCGTAACGACATAGTATAGTTAATTTCTAAATGCGGTAATTTGGTTGATAGACTTTAGCATCAAAATTCTATTGATATTAATAACCCCAGAAGGAGGGAGAATTTTATGTATGTATGTATGATACACAGTATATGATAATTTGCATATATAATAAACTTTTTTCCATTTCCCTATCGAAATTATATATCCAGCGGGTCCAGTTAAATAATTTCTGAGCATATCTATAGCTCTAACTCTTCCAGCTTACTGGATTATAACTATTTTTATCCTATTATAGATTTATATATTAATATTTATTTCCGCCTTTTTCAATATGGTGCATACCTCTGTTTTTGCGCCTGGTTTTCTTCCAATTTTCTTAACGTTATTATCTTCATTACCTCGATTTAATCTTACTCGCCTAATAAATAAATTTTCAACAAAGAAGGGGAGAGAAAATCTCAAAAGAGCAAAAAAATAAAAAATCTAATCATTATCTTTATATTAATATAATTCAAACAAAACAGAGAAGGATTGAATGTATGTTCTTCAGGGTATGGTGAAGCAAACCAAGTATCCATTTCCCACTCGCCGAATCTAATAATTTTAATTCTGGGTGCAAATTCTTCGTTTGGGTTTTCCTTATCACAGATATTATATTGTCATTAATATTCTACTACAAGCACCTGTATTACCCTCATCGTCCACTACCCTTTTAAACCTCTACCAACATCAATCTTGATTCGTTTCCTTCCAAAAAACCTTCCAAAAAACCTTGGTTGTATATAATAAAAATAAATTTAAAAGTGTATGTATCAAACAAATAAATCACGGATGACGTAAATGTTTTATTTACTATTAAAATAAAATTTTCGCGTAATATAACACAAACTATCTATGTCTGAACATAAACAGTCAAACAGTCAATCAAGATCCTCATCGTAGTGATTGATCGATTATTTTCTTGGCATAATTAAAGTGACCGGTAGGCTGCGTACTAACTCGAAAAATTGCTTATTTTGTACATTCTATGTTCAGCCATATTCTATTCTAAATATGAAATTTTTTTTGAAATCTTTCTCAATTTTATTATTATAATTATTATATTCAAATCTTATTAAATAATTAAATATATAATCAAAAAAGAAAATATAATGGGGGTAAATGTTTTATGGTTTTTTTTTGTTTGATTATTTTATTATTCGTTCAATAAAATTTAATATAAATTATATTATTTAGGATATAGATGCAAAAATCAAGTCTATTAATGACAAAATTAGAAAAGAGGAACTAATGAGACAAGCAGCTGTAAGAGTAAAGTCTCAAACTTCCAATACAACAGTACAAACTCAATGTGAGAGCAATATTGAGAATGCTTCAAGATATATTGAATATCTAACAAAAGAAATGGAAAAATTACAATTAAAGCAAAGAAACAGTTTTTCAACAACTCCACAATCACAACGTAATTCACAAATTGATTATTATCAACAATCTCCAACAATGTCACCTCAAGTTATTAGTCATAGTCCTTATTCATATCCCATATCACAAAATCAACCAACTACTAATAGTATTCCTTATGGTCAACAACATCCTCAATGTTTACTATTATCAACTACAACTCCAAGATCTCCTTTGACTAATTTGGGTGGGATTTCATAATCAAATTATTATTATGTTTGTTTTTTTTTTTCATTTCCAAGGTTTTTTTTTCAAACAAATATAATTATTTAATATAATTTGAAGAAAAAGTATATCTTTTTAAGTATGATAAACTAATTGGAGGGAAAAAAACCGAAAATGATATATTTTTTTAATATATATTATATATATATAAAATAATAATTATAATAATTATAAAGCATAATTAGACTGATCAGATTTGTTCATTGGATATTACTTTTTACCACTACTTCTCATCATTAATTAGACCTTATTAAATCGAATACACCAATTACCACTCAAAAAGTTGCTTTAAAACTACATGAACTTCAATTCAAACTTGATGTTGAACGAAAACTTAAAGAAGGCTCGGAAAAATTGATCAATGCTGTTCATTTCCAAGACCCAAAAAATAAAAAAAGCATCGCTGAAGTTCAAGAGAAAACTTTGGAAAGTAAAGAAAAAATCTCTATACTAACAAGATCATTACAAAAATACAGACAATTATATATCGGTGAAGTAGATGACGATGAAGGTATGTTGTATTCTTTTTATTCCCCATCCTCCATTCACACTCTCCTGCTTATTTGCTCTCTCTATATTCAGAGGATGATAGTGAAAGAGCTAGTAGGAATACACCTGGAATAAGGCGACCTGTCACTGGAAAACTATCAATACGTATACTGCATGCAAGGCATATTTCACACACACCTACAACACGATCAAGTAAACATTTAGACACAACTGTCACAATCAAGATTGATGGTATGTTAAAAAACAAGACACGTGTATCACGTAATGATCGTTGGAATGAAGATTTTGAAATTCATGTTGATAAAGCCAGCGAAGTTGAAATTACACTATATGATAAACTCCATGAACATCATCAAGTACCAGTTGGTCTTTTATGGATTAAAATATCAGATATTGCTGAAGAGTTAAGAAAAAAAAGAATCGAGGCTGAGAATGGTCCAGGTTGGGTTACTGCTTCTAATGCTCAATTTGAAATGCAAGGATCACCTACCAGCACCATCAATACCACACCATTAAACAATAGCCAAAATCCAGCAGATCCATACAGTATACCTTATGTTGCAGCAAAACCTCAACAAGGAACTGAAGCTTCTGTTCTTTCCGATGGCATTGAAGCTTGGTTTGAAGTTGAACCTGCTGGTCAGATTTCACTAATGCTTAATTTCGGTAATGGTCATATGTTATGTTCATTCTCTGTGCGTGTGTACTTATAGAGAGATAATTTTAAATCCTTGAATTTAAAATAATTAATTCGTAATAGAAAAAGAAAGTGTTAATAAGAGACCACTAGAACTTGGTCGTCAAGGCGCACTTCGTAAACGAAAAGGTGATATACTTGAACAAAATGGACATAAATTTATTCAAAAAATATTCTATCAAGTCATGAAATGTGCTTATTGTGAAGAATTATTTGTTAACGAGGGGTTTCAATGCGATGGTATTTATTTAAAATAAATAAATACAAATACAAAATTTTATTTTATTTTATTTTTGAAACAATATCCTAAAGAAATTATTTTTATATAACTAGATTGTAAATTAACATGTCACAAAAGATGTTATACAAAGATTGTTACAAAATGTATTGCAAAATCAAATGCAGAGATGGTAACCAAATCTATGTTATTGTTATATATTATGACTATTTATTATAAAATTAATAAAATTAACTTTCCTTCTTAATGTTAATCTCATTAATAATTACAAGGATTCTGATTACAAACAACTTAGTCATCGGATTCCACATCGATTTGATAATCTTACCAATATTTATGCAAATTGGTGTTGTCATTGTGGTTACATATTACCAATAGGAAAAAAAGGATCTAAAAGATGTTCTGGTAAATATTAAATATATAAACATATAATAACTAATACATTAATACATTATTACATTAATCAATTAATTAGAATGTACTATTACCTGCCATGCAAAATGCGCGCATCTTGTGCCTGATTTTTGTGGAATGTCAATGAGACTTGCAAGTGAAATGATTGATCAGATTAATGCAAAATTTGCCAGAGATAACATCGCTAATCGTCCTTCCTCCAACGAGAACCTATTAACTACACAAAAACCATCTTCACCAACACAATTGCAACAAACATATCATTCTTTTCCTCAAACACAACAATATCCACAGGAGAAGCAACAGCAATTACAACAACCATCTCCACCACAATCACAGCAATATCAACAGCAGCAACCACCCCCACCACCACCACCACCCCAATTATACACACAAATTGCTCAATCTAATGATGATTCCATTAATCATTATAGTAATAATAGTAGCAGTAGTGGCAGTGACAGTGACAGTAGTAATAGTAGTAATAGTAATAATAATAGCCCTATTGCACCATTACCATTACAGATACAGAAACCACCACAAACGCAAAAACCACCACCTTCTCCAACTTCTCCACAACAACAACCATCACCAACACCTATAGTAAGTTGATTAATCAATTAATTATTAATATATTAATCCATAATTGGTTTATACTTAATAATAAATAATAATAATAATAATAATAATAATAATAATAATAATAATAATAATAATAATAATAATAATAATAATCATTATTATCATCATGATCGGTTTTCTAGCCAAAAGCTTCTTCTACCCATCAACAACCACAAATTGATAAAGTTGAACCAGTTGTTGTTCATAAAACTCCTAAAATTGGTTTAGATGATTTTACTTTTATTTCAGTATTAGGTAAAGGAAATTTTGGTAAAGTGATGCTTGCTGAAGAAAAAACCACAAAAAAACTTTATGCTATAAAAGTTTTAAAGAAAGAATTCATTATTGAAAATGACGAAGTTGAAAGGTATTAATTGATTTACTAATTTATTAATTTGGTTTGTTTTAATAAAAAATAACATATTTTATAGTATTTATAAATCAATTAACTTGTTGATTAATTAATTAACTAACAAACTAATTAATTGATAAAGTACACGATCTGAAAAAAGAGTCTTCCAAACTGCTAATCGCGAAAGGCATCCATTTTTACTTGGTCTTCATTCTTGCTTCCAAACAGAAACTAGAATTTATTTCGTAATGGAGTATGTTAGTGGTGGTGATTTGATGTTACACATCCAGAGAGAACAATTTACATATAGAAGAGCTCAGTATGTTATCCTTTATATTCTTTTTTATAATCATTTTTGTAAATTAATAATAATCGTTGTTCTTTTTTTTGCTAGATTTTATGCAGCCGAAGTATTGCTTGCATTAGAATATTTGCATAAACATGGTATTATATACAGGGATTTAAAACTTGATAATATACTTCTTACATTAGATGGACATATTAAAATTGCAGATTATGGTCTTTGCAAAGAAGAGATGTGGTTTGGTTGTACTACTAATACATTTTGTGGTACACCAGAATTTATGGCACCCGAGGTAAATAAGCGAATCTATAAATATTAATAAATAAATATACATCATATTAATTAATGCAATATAATGTTATATGTTGATAGATTCTTTTGGAAAAAAGATACGGTAGAGCAGTTGATTGGTGGGCATTTGGTGTTTTGATATATGAAATGCTTTTGGGACAATCACCATTTCGTGGTGATGATGAAGATGAAATTTTTGATGCAATTCTAGAAGATGAAATTTTATATCCAATCAACATGTCTAGAGATTCTGTTTCCATATTACAAAAAGTAATTAATTTTATTTGGCAAAGCAAAATGATAATATTTTGCTTATTATTAATATTTTAATTATTAACTTATTTATTATACATTACGTTATTATTATTAGTTGCTAACTCGTGAACCAGAGAAGCGTCTTGGGACTTCTATAGCTGATGCAGAAGAAATTAAAAAACACCCATTCTTTAAAGGTGTAAATTGGAATGATATGCTTGCAAAGAAAGTGCCGCCGCCATTCTATCCCACAATTGTAAGTTAATCTTTAATATTTGATTGATTTTTATTATAATTTTTTTTTTTTTAAAAATAATTTTATTCTCTGATGTTGTATATAGTCATGTCCAACTGATACTTCAAATTTTGACGAAGAATTCACGAAAGAAGTACCAGTACTTACACCTGTTCAGACACAATTAGGCTCTGAGGAACAAGAAGAATTTCGTGGATTTTCTTATATTTCTAATTGGATTGCTAATCCAGAAAATTAATTGATTGACTGATTGAATATTTTATTGGTAGATATTATTATTATTATTATTTACTACTAATACTAAAATCGGGATTATGTTTTATTATTAATTACTATGTTAGTAACAGTAGTTCACACATTCATGCATTCATTTTTTTCAATCCATTTAATTTTGAATTTATATTTATTTATTTACCATAATGATTAGCATTTCAGTTTGCACTTGTATTATTGTTTTATATTTAAATATCTATGGAGAGTGTAAGGGTATTGCTTCGTAATATAAATGTAATTAATAAAAGTTGTTTTTTACAACATCCAAAAATCTCGTGCCACATAAGTATAATGAATACCCGGGCTATCTCTATAATAAAATTTGATTGATTTTTATTTTATAATTTAATATATAATGGAAGAAGAGTATGAAAGTGTATTATTGGTGATTCGCGAATGTTATGGCAAGTATTCAAAGCATTCAATTTTACTATGAAGTTGGAATTTCTGTAGTAAAACCATTTGAATTAAGATATTTTTTCGATTAGTTTATAAACTTCCAGCAAGAACTTCAAGTAGAGAATACAAGTAAATAATTAATAATAAGACTAAAATAAATAAATAAATAAATAATTAATTAATTAATTAATTAATAAAATAAAATAGAGCATCAGATTGGGGAGATATGGAAGCATATCTGTGGAAAGGTAGATTAAGAATTATTTCAAAAGGAGAGAAATGTTTTATCAGGTTGGAAGATGGAGGAACTGGTATGTTGGACATTAGTAGATGTTTTATATTATATAGACAGGCAAAGTTAGACAATTAATTATGTATATATTAATACTAGTATGAATATACATATAAATATACAAATAATTAAAGGTGAATTATTTGCGCAGTCTCCATATAATCCAGATAAGAATTCGGTCGAGTCAGTTAGAGATTCGAGTAGATACTTTGTATTAAGAGTTGAGGATGATGATGGTAAAATATTTAAATATAAATTTTTTTTGAAAAAGAAACATTTAATTTTAATTTTTCTAATATATTAATTAATCTAGGTAGACATGCATTTATAGGAATGGGATTTAGAGAACGTACTGAAGCTTTTGATTTCCAAGTAGCATTACAAGATCATATCAAGTATTTTGATTAATTAACATATAAGATCTTCATATACATATTTATAATATATAATTTATATAATGTATAATCATTCTAGACATGTTAAAATTGAAAAAGAATCAGCAGAAAAGTCCAAACAAATCAATTTGGAGCCAAAAAAGAATTTTAGTTTGAAAGAAGGTGAAACAATTTCCATAAATATTGGTAACGTAAGTTATCAAATACTATTTTTGACTATTTTATTTTGGAATAATGTAATAAATAATAAACATTTTGAATTATTTATTATAGAATAAGAATAATATTAAAAAATCACAATTTTTCAATAATAATAATAGTACTAGTAATAATTCTGGGGAAGCTGTTAACGTTAATGTTAGTGGCAATAATGGTGCTAGTTTTGGTAAGATATTTAAATAATTTATTATTATTATTATTATTATTATTATTATTATTATTATTATTATTATTATTATTATTTTATTATTATTATTATACTACTAATAGTATTTCACTATATATATATATATATTATGAATAAAAGGTTTACCAATATTGCCACCACCACCGTCACCATTAGCAATAAATCAACAAACAATAATAACAAGTTCTGCTGCTGCTGCTGCTGCTACTACTACTAGCCCATCCGAAGGTTATGGAGATTTTGGAGATTTTGTTGATTCTTCAACAAATTAAATAAATAAATAAATAAATGATTGTATTTTTTTGTAAATTTATTATTTTACGTGATATATATATATTTTTTTATATTTATATTTATAAATAAAAAGATGAATTGAATTGAATATTTAAATATTTTTCATATATATATTATACAGTTTTGCGATCCGTAAATACTCTAACAATACTTCCCAACCCTGCCACTTCTGTGAGCTACAATAATAACAATTAATGTCAGTAACAATTACTTGCATCAATGATGATGATAATATCATACACATAATATATTATTATTATCAACTACCTTTTCGTGCCAATTCAATAATACAGCAGAATTATATGATTTGGGTGATGACATACCACGATAAATATATTTCATCAATACATCTTGTTGTTCGGCATTTAAAGATTCCACCAATGATGGGACATCTGAAGCTTTAGTTGAAATCAACACTTCCATCACAATAGTTGTATTTTTATCCTACACATTCATATATTATTTATGGGATTATTATAATAAATATAAATATTTATGTAATATAAATTATTCTAATAAAACAAAATACCTTTGCTTCAGTTGTGTGTAAACCGTATGGTGGATTTTCAATTGCAGTAATCAATGCTCCTAATGTATCACCTCTATATTTCATAAAAAATACATCAAATAGATTATGTTTTTAAATTAAAAAATATAATAATTAAATGAACAAATAAATACCTTAGTGATAAGTTTCTAACATCAGTACCTTTACTTTGAACATTTTTTAAAGCTGTTTGTGAATCTATTTCATTTCCATCTGAAAAGGTAAAAAGTTCTTCCTGAAGTAATTGTTCTTCATCTAACGCGTCAACATCAACATTTCTAAATGACATCTTTCTTGGATTGAAATAACAGATTCTAAAAAATAAAATTCTATTCGTACGACGTTCTTTTGCCTTTTTTGCTATCACTGTTACATTTCCCGATTTTCTTATTATATATTATTATTAGTTATTTATTATTTCTGACTCGTGAAAATCTATCACTAATATTAAGCTATAACAAACTAATGTAAATTTTGTTTTTGTTATAAAAAAAAAAACTTCCTTTCAGGTAGTATATCAACCATTGCATATTTATGCCAATTCAATGTAGAGCTGGTTTTCCCAAATGTTCTTTGATAAAAGAACTAAATTTTGTATTCTAAATTCTTTGATTTATATTAAGTATTAATATGACTTCTGATACCGGATCTTTGTTGAAATACTTTCCGGTTCATCTTTCAACTATATTTGTTATTAACAGTCGCGGGAAATTGGTCACTTTCAGAGGGTCAATTGTCACTCATATAGTGCAAGTCACCTAGTCGCCGAACTTTTTATTGGCCTTTCATTCCTCCAAAAAAGGAAATAAAATTTCATTTTTGTTGATAGTCACGTTACCATTGCCGCGAGTAACCCAAAAATTAGAAGCTCTTAATATCGTCGATCTTTTATATCATGTGAATTATCCAAATGCCTAACTCGTACATAGCTTCTTATAACAATGAATGTTCTTTTAAAAAATATAACAGATAAGTTCATTCATTTCGAATATACTATTGCATTGATCAAAGAAGTGCGCTAAGCATATAAATAGACATGCTATAACACCAAATTTATTATGAAAATACACTTTGGATATTCAAAATTAATGTCAATATTTTTATTTTAAAATTTAACTAGATAACAAACAAATGGCGGCACCATCACAACCAAATGTCTATCTTGCACTAATCAAAGAAATGCGCAAATGATGTAATTATTCATATGATAGACTATTTGTGCGGCCAAATATTGTTATAGCCTAATTTATTACTATAAAACATATAAATAGACCCACTTGGTACCAAAAATATATTTCGTGGAAATACGTTTACACTTGTGATACATACGCATTTATGTAGGGTTTTCTATTCGTAATAGCAATACAAATTCTTGTTCGAATTAAAAATTATTTCGTTTTATTCGAATTATTCAAAATATAATTCTTTAACAAGATAATAATATAACTACTACTATGCTTGCTAGTACTATCTATGACTTAAGAAAAGTAAAGAAAAATATCAGCTACTAATATTTATTATTCGAATAAACTTTCATAACGAATAATTCGAATAATTCGAACAAACCCTATTCCAATGTTTTTATTTTAAATCTTAACTAGATGACAAATGGTATCACTACAACCAGTTATCTTGCATTGATCAAGAAATGTGCAAATGATGCAATTTATATTAAAAATCAAGAATTGAAATTTTATTTTAGAAAATAAGAATTTTTAAAGGTAAGTAAAAATAAAAATAAAACATTGAACAACCAATTAATTAATATTTTCAGTAAATCATTTTTCTATTAATTTATTCATAATAATAATGCTAATTATAATAAGTAATAGCAATAATTGGCTCAGACAGGTTTTTACTTCTAAAACGTAACTGTAGGGTCTTTAAAGTTGATATCATTTAGTATTTTCTTTTTTGCTTTCTTTCGAATACGAATAAGAAGAGAAGTGTCAAACCTTTTACCTTGTTCATTATCTCCAACTGTCATCATCATCATCATCATCATCATCATCATCATCATCATCATCATTATTCGAATTCGAATTATTCGTTTTATTTAAATTGCTAGTTTACTCGTTTTATAAAATATAGGTCTTATTTCTTTAACAAGATAATACAGTATATACAATAATTGCATGCTCCCTATCTAAAATATATAGAAAAATTAAATGATTTAAAACAATAAAATAATAATAGTAGTCACATAATAATAATAATATAAATAATATAATAATAATAACCAAATTGATTGTTGCGTGATGATTCTTCTAAAAAAAAGTGATTAATAATTAATAGTATAATTATTATTACAAAAAATATATCAACTAGAATCTTTGATGTTGAATTTTCTACGTGTGAAAATTTCGTTATTAGAAACAAAACAATCTCAATGAAATTGATTAGATCAAAAAAAAATTTTATTTTCTTATTATGATTCTTAAAATGCCAAAAAACGAAGCTGAGCAAGGAAAAAGTTTGGGTCTTAGAATAGGTGATAGTACTGTTGCAAAAATTTACAAGACATTTAATATTCCAAATACTACAGTTTATGACAGAATCAAGCATTATGAGAATGCGCAAAGCCTAAAAGTAACCAAGAAGTGATCGCCTAAAGATCAAAACGCTTTAACAAAAATTGCATCAAAAGAAAACCATGGTTCTTTGAAGAGATTCAAAAAAAATTTGTCAACAAGAATGATTTGCACGAGCTTGGAATTTTTTCCAGAGTTGCTGTAATAAGACCTTATTATTAGAACAACAAAAAGATCAAATGAAGTGACGTATTGATGAAAGAAATTGATCAGTGAAACAGTCATTTGAAGCTTACAAGTGAGCTCGAGTTTGACGAAAAAACGGTGAACATTACAAAACTGACCTTCTGTTAATCATGGTGGTAGTATAATGGCATGGGTCATAATAACAAGAAGACTGACGAACACATTACCAGCCCTTTGATGAAAGGAAAATCATCACTTAAGTTTAAACAGCTATAAATAGATTAATTAAACAAACAATTAAAATTACATCAGCAAACAAAACAATAAAATAATCAATCGACAAAGAAAAAAGAAGATAACCGAAAATAATAATGATTAATTAATTAACTGCTTATTAGAAAAAGATGAGAAAATAAAATTAGAACAAGTTTTTCAATTGAGCCACATAACAATTTGTCACCGCTCATTTCCTTAATATTAATATTAAATATAATGTTCCGGAGGCCCAAGTGGAGACTCAACCACTTGGATGACAAGGCGTTGGAACTCTTGTCCAGAAGGCTCAGATTAAAATGCAAAAATCAAGGGTTTATTTTTCAACATAGGATCTTTAAGTTTTTTTCATTTCCACATGGTCTTAGTCTCTTTCTTTAAGGGATAATTGATGCTTTGGTAATGCAATTTATATATTTAACGATCCTTTTGCAAATTTAAAATAAAAACCATTAAAAAGAACCATGGGAGGCAGGGGGGAAAGAATACGGGTTTCCCTGATTATTTTAAGAAGTTTTGAGCAACATCACAAATTATGATTGGGGGCTATACCTTTTAGTCTCTTAACTTAGACAAACACCAACAGATGATGCTCCTACATTGATCCCGACGATCCAATGAAAGGAAAATAATGAAAACTTGGCAAAGAAGAAAAAAAAAAAAAAAATAGAAACAACCCATATTTCTTATATGAAGGATATTGAATAGTGATGAAAAATTAACATTTATCATAATGGTGTTAATATCACCACCACATTACAATTGTGGCGTTTCAACACACTTAGTACCACCAAAGTTATTTTGTTCGTTTTGTTGCATATATGATCGATTTCCGAGTTGTACAAAATTGACGATAAAATTTTAGTTACTACTGTAAAGATTACAACTATAAAAATTTTTTTTACTTTGTGGGAAAATATAATAATAGCGGTAGTGATTCAGTTTACCGTATAATGCATGTATCGTGTTAATGTTTATTTGCGATCACATAATCAATAATATTAATAATATTAGAGTGCTACTTTTTAAAAAAAGGATAAAACCAGAATTTTTGATTTTTTTATTAATAAAATAAATAAAATAATAAGTATTATAAGATATAAAAAAAATAGTCTTAAAAAAATATACAATAAATAATCATATACAATATTAAAAAATCATAACAATTAAAAAAATTACAAAAAAATTTTATTTATAATTATAGTCGCAAATATAAGATAATATAAATAAATATTTGATGTTAAACATTTATCTTGTTAAAGTCCTGAGTAAAGAAATTGGTGCTTGGAGACTCTTTCTGGCATTTGATGAGAAACTGGTTCCACCTGTTGGGGAGGCAGGACGACTTCTAGACTTTTCTGGTTTCTGTTTAACCACGAGAACTGAACATTCGCAATTTCGAACAACATATTCAGATACACTCCCCAAAAGATTTCTAGAATAAAATTTATTGAGAATTGGAATGTTTTTGGAATGTAATTAATTAAATTTATTTCTAAAATAATATATATTACCTCTTCAATACTCCAAGACCTCTAGTACCGACTATTACTAAATCTACGTGAGCATTTTCAGCAAGTTTAATTAATTGAACCTTTGGATCACCTTTCAAAATATAATAATTCGAAGTAACCTATAATGATAAATATTATATAAAATTATTACGAGCATCATTAATCATAATCATAATCACAATCTATCACACACTTACTCCTTTTGATGATAACTCTTCAGTTAAAGGTTTCAAGAATTCAGATGCTTCGGAATGATTTGAAAGTGATAAACGTCTATTCGTTTTCATATTTTCTATGTGTAAAAATTAAATAATAAAATGATGAGTACATGTCACATTTATGTTGTACCAAAATCTAAACAAAAAGATCGGGATTATTCCATAATTCGAATGACAATCATTGCAAAGTAACAGTAGAAGAATAGGAAGAAGGAGGAGGAGAAAGAAGGAGAGGGAAAATATGTAACATGTAGTATGATAGCTAGAAGATTAATTACCTGCGTTTTGAGCTCTAGATGTATGTGCTAACAGCCAAGCAGATTGTTCTTCATCGACAACTGTGGCAAGAGATACGTGGTCTTTATTAGCTATAAAGATATTTTCCGTGGCATATTGAAATACTGCCTAATTATCCAAATTTTAAATAAAAAACTAATAAGAATTATAATATTCAAATCTATAAAGGTATTTCACACACACAAATATTAGCTGACCTTGCTATACTCTGAATTGTCGTAAGCCAAAAGAATCTTACGTCTCAAGTGAAGTTCAAGAGGTTGTTCTGGAGTGTTAACTGGCATTTTCGTTAATTAATTATTTTAAAGTATAAAGTTGATAATTTAATTTATTAATTATTAATTAATATTATTATTATTAATTTTTGAAAAATTAAAAATTTTTTTTTGGGGAAAAAAAAAAGAAAAAAAAAAAGGAGGGATATTTAAATATAAAAGAACAATTGTAATTTTAGGCATTACATTATCAGATTATACTATTTGGTTAACTTTATTTCCTAATTAGTAATATTTAGTTTGTTCAGGTGGATTGTTCGAAAGGCATCTACCTTGACAACAACATGAAATCTATTAATATTATGGTTTGACAATAGTGATAGGACATGACAGATTTTTTAAATCATTTGTTGTCATCGCCTTTTTTTTACATGCAATTTATTTATTTTTTATTTTTGTATGTATGATATAATAATAAATTTTTTAATTAATCTCATCATACATCATTTCACAAATTTCACAAATCATCCATTAATCAACGGAAATAATTCTGGTGATCCGTTCCGACAGTTTAACCAATTAATACAAAATAAATATTAATTAATCAATTTATAGTTAGTATAAGCTATTCCGTAATCATCCCACTTTTTCAAGATTATAATTTAAATATTTTTGTTTAAATCTTTTTATAGTATTAGAAAAATACAAAAATTTCTTGTTTTCTCCATTTTAATTTGTGTAATATCTAATATGTTATGTTTGTATTTGTATATGTTTATTGATTCAGAGATGAAATTTCCCAAAAAAATCTTATTATTTGATGATTTTTTGCTTAGGATTAGTAATTGTATGAACACACACATGCACACATATGTGATCATAAACAATGTTCCATGAATTTGAAAAAATTAATCTAAATCAAAAAAAATTACCTATATATTTATTTACATGTAACTTGAAAAATAAAATGATTGAAAATTCGTATTTTCTCTTGCAGCAGGAACATTAATTTAATAACCATCTTATCTTACATACTTCTTACATACATACATGCACCTACCTACCTATCTATACATCTTTATTTATAATCCTTCATACCTTAAAGTAAATCTAAATTTCAATCCTGATCTAAATCTAAAATGAAATCTTCCACCACCCCAATATCAACATCAACATCTTTTTCTAATCGTACAACAAATATTATACGTCTTTTTTAATCCAGTTAATAAATTCAAACCATGTCAACAAATTACTAATAGTAATCAGAATACTTCAATTTATCCTGACGATTTAACTACTAATATCCTACAAAATGATAATATTATTTATCGAAAAATTTGTCCTAAATTATTATAAACGAATTTCGATGAAGCTTTGCGTCAATGAAATAGGTCGTATTTGGAAACAAAAGGAAACTCATGGAAAATCCGCTGTTGTTAAAGCCGACATCAACATGAGTCATAACGAGACGAGTAAGGATACTAAAATTCTAGAAATTGAACCGTCGTAGTTTCTATAAATGTTAATAATAATAATAATAATAATAATGTTAATGATGATGATGTTAATAATAATAATAATGATCATCGACATCATCAACAACGTATTTTGGAAACCTCGATAACATCAATTCCACAACTAGTGTATAAAATTCGCCGTGTAACTAGTACAAATTTAGAAGCCATTTTACAAATTTAGAAACTATCTGCAGAATTATATTAGTGTATGACGTTACACCCGGGAATCGCGGATCATCACAGCAAAACAACAAGATTTTATAATTAGATCCCAAATAGAAACATTGGCTTTACACCAGAATTTCTAAATTATCATTACTATTTAATCACAATCCGATCATTTAGTCGAGAACTTTATAGAATACTAATACTAATATCATTTTTTTTTTAAAATAATGATGGTTCCAATAATAGCAATAATAATATATATACTGCTAATAACATTGGTGACGATGTTATTAACCAATTAAGATCAAGATTTTCAAAATATTTATAAAATAATTCCGTTCGTTATAAAGAAAACTTTTTTATGACGGAGAAATTTGCCACCATTACTATCGCTTTGCTGCTTTCATTGCCGTTGCCGTTACTATTAATATTTAATATTAAGCCTATCTATCAGTTATGCATGTATGTCTCATATGCTTTATGGCGTCTCGATTAATTAAAATTTCTCTGGCGTAAATAAATAAAGTGGCTAATGTTATAATTTAGGATTAATTAAAATTTTAAAAATTCTAAAATTTTTTCCAAAAATTAAAAAAGGAATATAAAAATATAAAAGATAAAGAATTATAATCATAATTAACATTTTTTATTCTAACACTGGGCAAACAGCGGTGCACACCGATTTTCCGGAGGTTGATAACTATTAGTGGTCAGTGTAATGTAATGTACCTTCCATATATGCACCATGCAATCAATATATACTAATACTAATTAATAAATAATATATTAATTACAACGTGTTGATGATTATATATGAGAGTCTTTTTACTAATTGGAAAAACTTCATATGTTAATTTTAATACTGATACTAAATAAATAAATGACAAACAAGCTTTTGAACAAGCTTTTAACAAAACCAATAGCTTACTACAAACTTTATCGAAACTGTCGGCAAACCTTTTTAAAAAGAAACTATTTCATAAGACTATTTTTTTAATTTTTACCATTCATTCATTCATTCATTTATTTAAATAGATATATATATATATAATCTTACTTTTTTCAAAATAATCTTTTTCAACAAATTTAATTTACCAATAATAATATGTGTCATAACAACAACATTAATAATAAAATCAACAGCAATAACAACAATGTAAGTGGATATATAATAGATCAAAGGTTAATGGGCTCCTTGAATCGCTTCGAAGAGAAAGTTGAAGTAAAGAACGAAGTAATGAATGAAGTAAAAAAAGAAGGGAAAGAAATCGAAACATTAATAACTTTTGAAGATAATGATAACAACATCAACAGAAACAGCCACAGCAATAGTAATGATGTAAACAATCAATCTTTAAATATTAAAAATATCAAATATCAAAATATCGACGATCTTAAATATTAATATAAATTACTTTTATATATTTTATAGTCAAAGGTTGAACATATAATAGAGAAATTGAGAGATGAATTGAAACAAACAAAAGAATTAGTGGCCGATCTTGAATCAAGATTAGAATTGTAATTATATCTATTTTTATTTTTATTTTTATTTTCATTTTTATTTAGTTCGTAATAATAATTATTAACATGTATAATATAAATATTATTTGCATCATAGAACCGAGCATACAAGTCACTTGATTGTTAATGAATTAAGAACTTTAATATCAGAGTAAATATTGTTTATTATATTATCCATGAAATATTTTGTAAACATTTAATTTAATCAATTAATTAACCAATTTATTTATTTATTTATTTATTTATTCAACATAGATCAGACAATAATACAACTACATCAACATCGACCAATGATACTAACACATCCAACGCTACTACATTGTTCACTAATACTGCTTCAACTGTAACTGCTGTTGAAGAAGATAATGATGGACAAGAGGAGAATGTCGAGGATTTACAAGATAAGCTCTATGATCAATTTCATGATCATTTGCAAATACCATTATCAACATCTTCAACATCTTCTCCTTCGTCTTCTCCTTCCCCTTTGAAATCATCACCATCAATAACATCTGACAGCGATGATACAACAAATGATTCATTTAATAGGATATGTAATGTACTACAAAATCTAATAGACGAAGCACAAGTAGCATTACATGAACAACAAAAAAATAGCAATATCAAGATTATTGTTAATCAAACTAATAATAATAATGATAATATTTGTAATAACAATAATAACAATAATAATAATAATAGTAACAACATTAATAATAATAATAACAACATTAATAATAATAATAGCATTAATAATAATAGTAATAGTAATAAGTTTGGGATATCGTCGTCACCGTCAAATTGCAGGCCAAGAGCTTCAAGTTGGAGTTCAAGTTGGAGCTCTAGTTGGAATTCAAGTGTTGTTGTAGGCAATTGGTTAATGAATCAATACAATCATTCAAATTACAACAACAACTACAATTATTATTCTAATGATAATAGTTATTCTTCACTATATTGTGAATGTAATAATAACGAGAATAGTGAGAAATGTTGGTTTTGTTTAGAAACCAATAGTACAATAGAATCTTTAAATTCTATTACTCCAAAATCTTCTAGATGTAACTCAATATCTCAAAAATACAACAGTAACACTAATTATAATAATAATAACAGTAACATCAATAGTAATAACTTGATGGTTCCTTCTTCTTCAATATCTAAAGATCAACAACAACAAAAGAATTTAATAAAAATACAAAAAAAATATAAGAAAATATTGGAAAAAAAATCAAATTATAATAAAAGTTGTGATAATATTGAATTAGAATTACAAAAATTAATCAATACAGCTTTATCAACAACTACAACCAACAATGCGATTCATAATCAACATATGATTATAGATAATAAAGGTGAAGAAGGTGAATGTGGAGACAACAAAGATGGTCGATTTTTTAAAAATAAATCATTAAAATGGAAAAAAAGAATTTTAGATTATTTAAAATCTCTAAACAACAATTACAACAATATGAATGCGGGAGAAGGAAAAGGAGAAGATAACGACGAATGTAAGGATGATGTTGCAAAATCTTCGACTTCATCGTCAAAATCTTCTCCTTCCTCTTCCTCAACTTCATTTTTAAACATTTTTAATGTGAATAATTTAATTTATAATTATTATTATGACACTAACAAGATTATAATCACTGACTCAAACACAAACTCAAATCCAAACTCAAACTCAAAATTAAGCAACAATTTTTCATCATCGGAAATTAAATCATCTGAAAATATACCAGATCAATCATCATCACTATCACAAAGTACAAACAATCCACTAATAAAAAATTTAATGAATTTATCAGCAATGATAGGAATATTTGTATTAGGCATGAAAAGAACAATTGATAATCAAATTGCTCATAATAAATCAATGTTATATAGGAAATCGCATTTATTAAGAAATGCTATCATAATAATAACTACTAGTAGTAGTAATAGAGGAAGAAGTATGAGCAGAAGAATTACAATTCGTAGGAAGTATAATTATTATTTATCAATTAAATTAGCAAAATATTTTACGATTTTATTGGTTGGTTGGTTATTTGGAAGAATTGGTAGTGGTAAAAAGTTACAACAGAATACTAATAATAATGATGATGCGAGAGAAAATAATAACAATAACATTATTTACAATGATGTTGACGTTGACGGTGGAGGTAATATTAATTGTGATGGTGAACTGAAACCTAAATACATGCACAAATCTTACCTTAATCCCAACAATCTCAATGTCCGTGACATTGATGATATGTAATTTATTTATTGTATTATAATTACAATTTATATATTTTTCTTTTGTAATATAATTAATAAAATAATTTTTTTAACAGTCTTTATTATCAGGTTTTTTTAATTAGTGTCCCCTACTAAAATAAATTAGCAATAGTTATACATGAATGTATGTATATTTTACGGTAGGTCATGCATGTGTAAATTTCTCAAGTGGTATAATTATATGTACTTATTAATTAGTACGCAATGCTAACTTTGCACAAATTTTTTTTATAAGATGATAAATGTAGCCATAATATTGATTCATACATATTAGTATCATATTCTAACCGTGTCTCGCTCAAAATAACGTTCTTATAAGATATACGTGTATTTATGTTGACAAAATTTCGTGTTTATATTCATATCAAGAAGGGTGCCAATCCCTGATGGTTTAATAATCACTCACTTTTGGAATACAATGTAACTTCAAAGCTTCGCGAACATAGAATAGTTATTATATCGATCTTTGTGTAAAACCAACCATTATTCGCAGTGAAGGATACTCTTTTCAATTCACTCTAAATAATGCCTAATTCATTTTTTAGGGAGAATAATATTATAATCAAAGATGATGGATGCTCGTATTCGTATTTGTGCATCTAATAAACTGAGCAAATTTTTCAAGCCATACAAATTTATTTATCTCAATAAAGATTTATGCTCATTCATGTATTGAATTATCTAAATCTTTGATTATTATGTTTTTATGAAAAGTTCATTTATATTGTAAGCATTTTTTTGTATCCACAGAAAATTAATTAAAAAATTATATCACGGCCTGTTTTTTTTTTTTTTTTGAACTGTATATCAACTATTAACATATTTAATCTGAAATTGAATTAAGCCTCTAAAATATTTTTGTTCGTGATGTTTTTTGCTGCAAAATACATAGAATTTTAACAAAAAAGTTTGGATCATTTATGTGTGTATTTGCTAAAAAAAAATAAAATTTTAAAATAATATATAGGTAAATACGTATATTTTAAACGGCTTAGCCTGCTAAAGATGATAAAAAAATTTTTTCTTAACATTCATTTTACGTCTGGAATTTTAGTGCAGAATTTAGTGACATAGACACTTAGTTGAGAAGAGTTCATCTGCATTACTTGGAATGAATAATAAGAGAAAAAACATACATTTGCTCAAAAAAATTTTTTTTACAATACTCGTAGCAGGATAAACGATAATAATAAAGAAAGCAATCGTAATATATAGAGTTTCTATAATACAATTATTATTATTATTGTTCGAATTGTTCTTGTTCGTTTTCAGTTGTCTGAACTATTCGCACTATTCGTTTATTCATTAGTTTTATTTGTTTTATTCGAATAAACTTTCAATGTAATTCGGATACTCGAATTCATATCCAATAAAACAAATAATGTGAATAGAAACCTAGTATCACTAGCAATAGTGAACCATTAAATAGTAATAATGGTGACTAATTAGGAGATAGTAAATAATAGTAATAGTAATAATAATAATAATAATAATAATAATAATAATAATAATAACAACGATAATAATGATACTGGCAAGCTTAGTACCATATGAAAAGTTTTTTCATCAACAAATCAAGGGGGATAAGGGCTGGCAAAAGGACATTTACTGGGATTTAAAAAATAATAAAAACAACCAATTTTTAATGAATTCATAAAAAGTATGTCTAGTAAATTATCTGATCCAAATTCTTAGCCGGCTTAGAATTGTTTGGCTTAGCCGACTAAGGGTTTTCTCCTTCCCTCGCCTCTTCTTACGATATTTCAATTGGTTATCCTTCTCCTGCTCTTATTTTATCAGACGAGCAAAGCATGATATACAATTTGATAATTAATAAAAATGATAATACGGAATGCGATAATGTTTATTATTAACATTAATATTAATAATAACAATAATGTATTTCCGTGTGATTTCCGTATTAGTATGTTGGTATGTTTATGGTTGACAAATAAAATGCATTGTAAAAAAAATGCCATTTTTATCAGTTACTTAATAATATTCCAGAGCTATAAAATCTTATTCACACATTCCGTTTTAATTCCACATTTACAAATGTCCATATATTAATATAAATGACATCACGGAAAAAATCCGGATTTCTTACTCAACTGATTGCTGTTTTTATGAAATAAACTGAACTTTTATGGAGTGATAAACATGACTATAATGGAAATATTCTGGAGTGGCATTTTTTACAAGGCGGATTAGAGATATGAATAGAAACACTACTTGTAGAGAGATAAATTTTAATAGGGGCAGATAAAAAACATTGGTTTATCATGTGTATTTATTCATTTTATCAAAGCATATCTTAATTACTGTATAATATTTTTATCCCTACAGGGATAAACAAATAATCAATCCAATTGTCAAATAAATGAATAATAAATTTCAATTGTCAATTGATTAATTAAATGCATAATGCTTTTCTTTAGTTTTTAGTAATAAACAAATAATCAATTCAATTGTCATTTAATTAAATGCACATTTTATTTTTAGTAATAAATAAACCAACGATCCAAAAAAAACAAGATAAAGCATTTTTTAGCTAATAACAATAAACAATTCAATTGCTGCTTAATTAATAATAAAATGATGCTTTTCTTATAAAAAGTAAATAAATGATGTGATTTTTTCAATCTTTTCAAAAAAAAAATTCTTCGATTTCCTTCCAATTTCCTTTGGCAAATAATAACAATATCATAATCCATTATAAGAAATCAAAAGAACATTTTAAACCAAAAAAACAACTTTGTTTCTCAACCATTTTTTTTTTCATGATTAGAATTTTGTCAATTCTGGTTTATCATTTCAATGTTAATACATACAAGCAAACGAAAGGCTCCCAGTGATGACAAAGTAGAGATTCTTGCAAAAAAATGCAAAAATATTAATATAGAAACAGATATACCATATTAATATGCAGAATCTTCTAAAAATGCAGCTAAAAGAAAAGCAAATGAGGACATAAACAAAGAACAACAACAAAAAAACCAAGTAAATATTTACCATTTATCTGCCTTTATTTTTTTAGGAATATCACTTAATATATTTTTTTAAATATCTAGAACGTCCTTGTCCAACTTGTAAGGGGACTGATCATTCATGTTCTTCAAGCAACCGTTGTAAATTTAAAGATAAAGATCTTGAGCCTGCAATCCAAAGCACTAACCAAACAGCACTTTATCACATGACCTTGGTGATCAATTTCCTTTTAACACAAGTGAAGTATATGAGGCAATGAACCCATCATAAATAATATTCGAGATACCCTCTATACACAATATTGACCTCGAGGAATGAATTGGACAAATAAAAAATCATTAGGACAAATTCTCTCCTCAGCTGCACGGCAATATGTTACAAATTGTCAGAACCACATCTCAACAACCGACTTAAAAGATGGATAAAATATAAATTATTTAAGATTCATCAATTTCCTTTACCAAAAAACACATAACTCCATTATAAACCATTTCATTGCCAACTTGAAAAATCAAGATCTCCCTTCCATCCCTTCAAATATTATTGATAAACCCTCTACATCACATCCACAATACCTAATTTACCTTACTACACATATTCAATATATTCACTTGAAAGTGCAACAGACATTATTCCAAAATCAAGCTCTTGGTGATGTATCTGTAAAAGCATACTGGTGGTCATATCTTTCAGGTCTTCATAAAATCCTGCACACCTTTACCAAGCATAACCGGGAACATGGTCTTCGCCTCTTCACACTTCTGCCTAAGGCACCGAATCGAATCAAACCGGATTCCTAAAATTTTTTTAACGTCATATTAAATTTATATCTTTAATTTGATAATTTAAATTTATATTACACAGTGAATCTCAATTAGTGTGCCTCAATTTAATGAATACTAATGGATCGAGGTCTAAGAATGGTTTAATGATAATAAAATTCTTCTTGATATGATATTTATTCGATAACGGATTTCTTGATATTAATATTAATATTAATGGTTATGTGACCTATATTATTAATAATTAGTAAAAATGATAATGATTTCATGGTCGAAAATGATGCTTCTTCAACTTCTTCAACAAGCACAGCAAGAAGAACAAGAAGCATTGCGTGGAATAATTTTACAACCATAGATGGAAAGGCAAGATGCAATTATTGCTCCAGGTAAAAATTTTTTTTTTGAATTTTATAATATTTATATAAACAAATATAAAATAAAAAATATTTTTGTAAATAAAATTATACATTAAAATAAAGATTTTCATTTATTATATATAGTGTATTTGATTCAAATCATGAATTCAAATCAGTTATTATTATAGATTCGAACCAGACAGTTTGAATCAAATCAAATCAGTACGAATCGAATTATATATTCGAATCAGTTCGATTCGAATTTCATTGATTCGTTCGGAGCCTTACTTCTTCCTGAATACTCTTTCCAACAAAAGTACATATTAGTTGATACTGATGCATTATATTATATGTACAAATCAATTGAAAAAGTAGGAGTAACAACTATTCAAAGATTCAGAGCTGAAAAGGAAATTTGGTGGATGGAAGCATTTAATATTAATAAAGTCACCACCCAAAATCGAGTTGATGAAGAAGGATCAAATATTGACTTGAATGGATGCAAAGTGTTTGGACTGGATCCTGGAAGAAAAGATCTGTTTACAGATGAAAAAGTTGTGAGCCGTTCCAACAAGGAGCACTGGAACTTAGCAGAGTTTGTTCATGCTCGTAAAACATGTGAGTTGTGGTTGGAAAAAAAATAAACATCTTCAGGCTATTATTCAAGGTGTGCTGTTAAACAAAAATACCATTGAATAATATTACTTACATACCTTTTGCCTAATACTAATACAAAACCTAGATGTTCCAACCTCTGGTGTCACTAATGTCTATGAATATGGCTCTTACCTTGCTTACATTCTGTTTTATCTTGATATAATTCTTAATTTTTATCATGAACGTTGCTGGCGTCGGTTGCGATGGAAATCTTTTATTAATAAACAGAAGGCTTATAACAAATAGCAGTGGTGACAGTACAGTTGTTGCATTTGGTGATGGTAAATTCTCATCAACATCACATGGGCATGCTCCAGGCCCTGTAAAATAATTTCGCCAAGAGCTTTCTAGACACTGCAGGGTGGTGAACATTGATGAGTTCCATACTTCCTCAGTCTGTTCTTTGTGTGATGGGTGGTTTGATAAGCATCAAAAATTCTGGTCTGTCAGAGTCTGCAAATCAGTCTGTCTGACACATTGGAATCGAGATGCTAATGCTGCCCGTAACGTAAGGAACATTTTTTTGCACACAAACACTTATGGAAAGAGACCTGATCCATTTATAAGGGGGACTTATTGACCTCTCTGCTGCCATTTTAACTGTGGCAGAATATGTCTAGCTGGCAGCAGCAATGATGACTTTCTATGAAGTCACAATTAGCTATAGGGAGGATTTGGACCTTCCTGATTTAGTGTAATAAGGTTTACTTGTTATGATAAAATACAACATTCATATATTCTTTAATGGTTTATTGGCTGGATACGGATTTGAGGTCAACTTTTAATATTAATATTAAATTGTACATGTATAATTGAAGTCAGGTGAATTTTTTTTATTTTTTACAAAATTTTTAAAATTAAAATTATTACAACGAATATTATATATATAATAACAAAAACAAAAATCTAAAATACAAATAAATAAATATATCACAATTTCTAAAATAAATAAATAATTTACAAAAAAGAAAAATAAAAAAATTTATATATATATATTTATATACTTATATTTATAAAGTTTATAATTAATTAATTAAAATCATTAATCGTGATATTTATTGTTTCATGACCCAAAATCTATGTATTTTATCAAACGCTTTAGAATCTTCTAATTGTTTAAGACAAGTGTCTACAGTTGCATTCCACTCCGATTCTTTAAATCCAATTTCCGACATTGCTTTTTTCAAATTTTTAGCACTCCAAGAATACAAATCTTTGTACAAACCGCCAACTTTGCCACCACCAAACGGCACAAGTCGTTCTTCATAATTTACTTCTCTTCTTCTTCTTCTTCTTAACGCTGCTGCTGACGACGACGTATTATTAACAAAATTTGTATCTCCAACAGCAACCATACTTTTAGCAAGAATCTTTGGTAGTATTGGTGAAATTATTAATTCCATGTTTCTTTGATTTTTTAATCCTTCAACAACTAAAAATAATTATAAATTATTAATTTAGATCATTCTTCGCGTTCAATTTATTTCACACGCACACACATATGCATATATGAGATACTTACTTGTTGTTCTAACGGAATTACAAAATGGATTTTCGTTATACCACTGAATATCATTTTCCATTATTTCTATGAATCCACCAACTTTTGTAACTCTGATCAATTCAGAAACAGCTCTTTCCCAATCAGCAATAGTAAAGGCAAATAGCATGAATCGCATATAAACAAAATCAAATGTATTATCTTCAAATGGCAAACCGGTTAAAACATTGGCATTGACGAATTGAACATTTTCCGGTTTAATTTCGGCCGGATAAAGTGGTTCAATGTCAACACCAAAGAATTTTGGCTTTGTGAATTCCGATGCCATATCAAGTGTCCAAACGCCTGTTCCACAGCCGACATCAAGTATTTTTGAATTTTCATTTGATAGAATTGATTCGATTGGCGCAGAAAAGTTTCCGCCCCAAACATGTTTCTGAATAAAATGTTGTGTTTGTAACCTGTCAATTTCATCATTGTCTAGAGGAAATACGTATCTGATGTTTTGGTTTTCATCGTCGGTTTTAAAATATTTCCTATTGTCGACATATTGATACATGTCACTAACTTCTGATGATGGAGATGATGGCGGCGGCGACAACGGCAACGATGATGATTTTTCTATCGAATTTGTTGAAAGAGATGAAAACAATTTTGATTTTTTTGATTTCTTTTTGAACGAGGAAGGTGTTAATATGAGTGAAGCTGATGGAATTAGTAAACATTCTTCTGAAGAATTTTTGGTTGGTAGAACCATAGGGCTGCTGAAAGATTTTTGATGTGAAGAAGGTGATGATGATGATGATGATGAGAAGAAGGTGGAGGAAAATGGCAATGGCATTGACGGTGTTGGAGTACAGTTAATAGATCGTAGATTTGTAAATGATTTAGAACGTAATCTAGAGAATTTACTTGACAAATTGGAAGTTGGAGAAGATTTAGAAGATATAGATGATAATGAGGAGGATAATGAGGAGGATAATGAGGAGGATGATAAAGATGAAAGAGATGATGGAGATGAAGGTGATGGAGGAAATGAAGATGGGTAAGAGGAATAAGGTTGATTATCAAATTTCTTTGATGTCTTTAATAACAACTTTGAATTCACTTTTCCCATTTTTAATGAATGAATAATAAATAAATTAATAAATAAATATTTAACAGTAAAAAGAAATGAATTGTTGTTTTACGTGTCTTTAAAATTTTAAAAAACCTTAAAACTTCGATTAACGAATAAAGAAAATAATTTAAAAACTAATTATTTATTTATGTGTTAATTTTAGTTTGGCTTGAATTCATTTCTTTTTAACTGTTTAGAAAAAAAAGTAGAGATATTCGATAATAATCGAACTATTTATATATTTATGGATGGGAATTTTATCCAGTATTGTAATTACTATTATAATAAATAAAGTAATCAACAATTATAATAATAATTTAATATTATTTGATAGAACAAAGAATAAATTATTTTGAAAAATTTTTTTTTGGGGTTCTCTTCTTCCTGTTTTACTAAATAGGAGTATAACTTTACTCGTGTGACAAAAGAGACAAAAACAAATTTTACTTGTTTGTTTTTCAAACTAATTAGGATATCAATGAGAGATTGCTTATAATTCACATATTAATATGGAATTGATTATCTATTTGTCTATGTATACACACCGAAACCGGACCCTAGGGCCCTCTAACCAATTTTGCTTTTTTTAAACTATAACGTAATTATCCATCCTGTTTACATAAAAAAAGAAAATAAAGTTAACCTTATTTTTACACGCATACATACATGCATAATAAATTAATTCTTGACAATACGTGGAACTTTGATTATAAGAAGAATAAATTAAAGATGAAATCTAATTTTTAATATTATTATGATAAAAATTTCGAACGTTTTTAATCAAATACAAGCATATAAAACTTTACTTAGTTATATATAGTAATATGACAACACAGCAACGTGTATTGCTGCCATGTCCTTTAAATCATCGGTTATTAAGAATTGTTGTTTTTCTAAAAAATTTAAAACCCATTAATTTATGGAATTTAATTAATTATATATGATTGGATTGGAATCAAAGAATTTGTAAATATGCATAAGATTATTTATTTAATAATTACAGCAACAATTAGAGTTGATGGCGACAATTTCCTAATTGTGAATGTCAATGAATTTTATATGCAATATAATAATAATAAATTTATTTCATTGGTTAAACTCAAAAATTAAAATTTAAACGATAGGTTACATAACGGTAGTAGTAGTGATTAAGTTTTAAAATAATCAAACAGAGAAAAAAAATTATCCGAGGAAAACTGTGTTGTCTACGACTAAAATCCGAGAATATATTTTAACATTTAATTCATCGTAAGTTCCAAAATCATTGTTTATTAGAATTAATAATGTATTTTTATTAGTGTTTATAAAAACATTTATCAAAATCAAATAAAGATAATGATAGTTAAAGGATTGATTGGTGATTTATTAATTGATTTATTAATTGATTGATTGACTGATTGACTGACTGGCTGATTGATTGATTGATCGATTGATTGATTGATTAGTTGGTTGGTTTACTTACATATTAAATGAAAGATCACAACGGTTTTCTTAAATTATTTTATCAAGAACAACAACATATTGTCAATAAATAAATAAAATAAATAAATAAAAAATAGTTGTTAGCACCTATATCAAAATTGTCACTATCATCGCTTACAAACAAATCATACGGGAGGATTCATGTGCCCCAAAAACATTTTCGTGAAAATGAAATTTAAATTAGCCAATCAGAATTTTCATATCCAAACACCCCACCCCAAAATTTTTAATTATATATAAATTTCAACCAATATTTTATTTACAAATTTTTTTTGAAGGAAAAAATAATAAGTTTATGCAAATACAGATGCATGTTGCTAATCCAATCGCATATTTTATATCACTATTTGTTCGATAACTTTATTGGTAATGATGGCGAAATAATGTTCTATAAGAATATTTATTATTTTTTTCTTTGATGGTCGCGTAACAAGCATTCGATAGATAGATCAGTTTTTCTAAATAATATTTTCCTTGATGGTCACATAATCAGGGGCTTTTTTTCTGAAAAAGAGAATAAAGGTATTAATTGATTCTTAAATGTAATTATTATTGATAATAATACATCTGGTAAAATAATATTTTCTTTTTTCCCCTTGATGATCAGTAACAAGGCTGTTCACTAAAAATTTATTCTTAATTCTTAATATTATAATAAGATAATATACATGTTGATCCGGGCCAACTGGAGCTCTAGATTAGATGATGTAGATAATTAAATTTTTGACCATGCGGATTGTGAAAATCTATGTGATTTTTTAAGAACGTTTCCCAACGAAGTTTCTTCTAAGACATGTATACCCAATTTCAGCCAATTTTTTCTATATATTTTAGAAAGGGAACATGCAAACCAAGATTTCTAGTCTAATCTTAATATTGTTGTTGTACATTACTTTCAAGTCAATTACAAATTCTGTTCAGAAATATGGAAAACTTCAAACAGAACATACAGAACATGGACTGATGATTAAATCACAAGGATGTTGTAGCATATACAAATTTTCGTGTTGCTGTATGTACATTGCTAATCCATAATCTTTCAAACTTACCGTTTTATCATGTTAGTAACATTAAAGATGGGAACTGCAATTAGCTGCAATTAGATTTTCATATGCTGCAATTAGTTACAAATAGTCGCTCACAATTAATCGTGAAGCCATCTTTAGTAGCAAATTTATTTATTAATTAAATTTATTCAACGATTTATCTGAACTTTATCCATTTTATTAATAAATTATTCAGAAATTATTCAACAAGTTATCCCAACTTTATTCATTTCATTAATTAATTAATTATTCAGCAATTATTCAACAATTTATCCAAAATTATGATTAATCATTCAACAATTATTAGTTATTTATCCAAACTTTATCCATTTTATTGATCAAATACACATATCAGTGAAACCTCCATTTTTTATGAAAACGAAACCATAGATTCCGTGAATATGATACATTTATGGGAAAAACATGGAAATGTATATTTAATTTATCATTATTAATATAAACGGAAAAAATATTGAGTTTAATAACGAGAAAAAACATTGAGACTAATCAACAGAGTAAATTTTTTACAGCGATTTTTTTCCTTATCCTTATTTGGATTTAAATTAATTCTCTATCGACCCAAATTATAGTGTCGCGGTCACCTTCTACTTCCATTTTTTTAAAAGTACTTTCGAATCATATAGTGCAAGACACTTAGTCCCTACAACTTTTTGCACCACAACGTCAATTTTTGAGGAAAATTTACAATCAAAAATCCAATAAAAATTTTATTGTCGCGTGCTTTGTCAAGTGCAGAATTTTATATATACATATAGATAATTAAGATAATAATAAATAAAGATAAGAAAGAGATGATTAGCAATTTGTTCATATGCAATGTTTGTGTAATATGTAAAAAAAGCAAAAGCCCACTACCATGTTGCGTTCTTATACAAAAAATCAGAAAGTTATGAATTTATCGAATTATTCCAATTATCGAGATTTTATTATTACTATAAATATGAAATTATCGAGTAAATTTTTAATATAAGTGGCACTAGTTCCTGAAAAATTATGAATTTATCGCATATGAATTTAACGAGCTTTGATCTCAAAAATTTGATCTGAATGTAACGTTACACTTCATATTCTCCACACTGAAATTATCACTCGTTTAGATCAGCAAAAATCATAACAACAACAACAAATAATAAAAATGTCGATTCGTGAAATTGAACTAAATCAAAATATTTCTTCTGCTTCTACTACTCCAGTCACCTTTGATAATACTAGTACTAGCATTGTTAAGAGAAAAAGAAAAGCAGCTGGTACCAATACTAATAAAGATAATAAAGGAAGGCAACAAAATTTGAGAAGAAGTGATCGAATTAAATCTAAACAACAACGACAACAACAAAATATTGAAAAAGCTGACAACACTGTGATCAGCAGTAGCAGCACTAATAGGATTAGTAAGACTGAAATTAATAGTATTGATCCTTCTAGTATTGCTACCATTTCAACTGATAATAATAATGATGATAAATCTGATAAAATTGTTACAAGTGATAACAATAATATTAATAATAACAAAGTTGTTGATTTGGAAAACTCTAGTAATGTTACTACTATTAGTATTGTTGCCGGTAGTAATTCTATTCTTACAGAGGAAAAAGTCAACAAAACTACTAATAAAAGAAAAAGAACTGATAAATCTGCAAAGAAAATCAAGAAGCAAGATGAAAAACGAATCACTGCTACTAGTCCTTCTTCCTCAAGTACTAATAATAACGCAGACCAAACCAATGAAATTCCAACTATTAAACAAAAAAAAGACAAAAAAAAAGCGCGTTTAGATACAAATATAGCTAAGGAGCCTGGAGAAAAACGCCTTGCGATGATTCGTCGTAGTTGTTCAATGGTAAAATATTAAATTATAAATGTTTTAATGATATTAATGTTAATTAATCGTATTCACTATTTATAGAAAGTAAAAGAGCGTATTGAGCGTGCAATGTCACAAAGGATGTTCCTGGTTGATAGATCTGAAGTTAGTGAATCATATCACAAGTTTGTAGTATTAGGATCAATTGGAAATGTAAATATCATAAAAATATTATTATTTCATTTATTTATTTACATATTTATATATACACACATATATATATATATATATATGTTTATTTAATTATTTATTTAAAATATTTAAAATAAAGGTTTATAATGTTGAGATTTCGACTCTTCCTAAATGTAGTTGTCCTGATTTTTCGAGAGGTAAAATTAGAAATTTAGTAATTTATTTTTTAAAAAGGCAAACATTTAATTTTTATTTATTTTATTTCCTTCATATTCCAAATAGGGGGAAATCTTTGTAAACATATTGTAAGTTAATAGTAATTTTTTAATGATTTATTTATTTCGTTTCACAATTATCATCAATTAATTTTCTTGATATAAAATATAAATATAAATAGTTATTTGTATACTTGAAGGTTCTTAGAGTTAATCCTAATAGCAGTTACATTTATCAAAAGGCATTATTGACTAACGAACTTAGACAAATCTTCCAAAATGCAGCTCCAAACCCAACTGTCTTGGTAAATTAATTAAATATATCAATTTATTTAATAATTTAATAGTTTATTCATTCATTTATTCACTGCTCATTAGGCGAATCAAAGAGTCCGTGATAAATATGCAAAGATTGTTGGTGGTGTTAACTCTGGTAGTGATGATGCTAGTAGTGTTAAAAGACCTCGTCAACCAATTGAGGGTGATTGTCCCATCTGGTACGTTTGCAATTAGTGTTATAGTATTATTAATAATAAATAATTTGATTATTCAAATTATAAAATCTCTGATTTTAGTTATGAGGCATTGTCGGAAACTGAAAAACTTGTTTGGTGTAAGGATTCTTGTGGAAATAATGTTCATGAGGTTTGTTTCGACCAATGGAAATCTTCAAAACGTAGCAGTGGCGATGAGGTAGGAATGAACGAAAGAATATTTATATAATTGAGATATTATATGAATAATTAATCAATTGTTTGTTGATTTAGATTACTTGTGTTTATTGTCGTAATAAATGGGAAGATGAGAGTGAAATAATTTCTTCAAGTAATGATGATGGATTTATTAATTTGGGTGAAGCACAAGGAATTTCTAGAATAAGAGGTAAGCAAATGTTTAATGATTAGAAATAAATTTATTAAAAAAATTTTTTCTAATATTATATATATATATATATATATAATATTAGATACATCTACATATAATGAATTTTTCTTGAATCGTCGTTATAATCGTTGGCATTAAAAATATTATAGACATATACAGTATATAAATATATAGTTACTATTGTTAAATGTAAATATGATTCCATTATTATTATTTTAATTATAATTTCTAATTGAATGTTTATCAAATGTATGGAGTGATGTTTCGCGAACCACGAATACTTTATATTTTGTTTTTTTCTCTAATTAAGGTCAAATAAAAATAATTAGATTTTAGAATGTATTTAAAAGTTATGGTGACTATAAACTTTGTGCACGATAGTACTCTTATTTTTTTTTGATACTTAAAGTTGTATAATTAATTAATCATATACCCTGTGTTCCATACTTTGATTGTTCCATAGATATTTTCACTTTTGCTTATCATCCAACATACTTCTTGTAAATGTCCTTGTAAACACCCAACGTGTTCACCATTTATTAATCTAACATTAATCTGTAAGTAGTTATTGACATCAGGAAATCTCTATATATTTAAATAGTAGCTCTGATAGGTTAGTTGTTCGTGGCCTTCTGAAGTTCTTCCCACTATGTAGTCTTCAACATTAAAAATATTAATGTATGTCAAGTCAAATGAATAGGTAGACTACTTTTTTAGAATCAACAAAGTTCAGGCTTTAAAAGATGAATGATGGTACCAAAAAATATTTGATATAGAACAGTGACAGTAGTAGATAGATAATTCATTTCGACTAAGGAATGTATCAATTAAATTGAAAGTATTATTTTTTAATAACCTACATGTTTGATATTTTTTATGTTCACTCTTTAGTATCATAAAATTTTATCCAGGCTCGTATTAATTGCGCCTAAAAAAAAATTTCCTGATGGAAATACATGGTTGCATTAGATTTTTTTAACCTGGTGGCAAGAGTATACTTGCATAGATGCAGAGAGGGTTGTTCTATTAAATCCAATACCTAGGCTCAATATGTTAGATTTATTATTATTCATTTTATTTTTTCAAAAAATGGAATCCACAACTTGGAATTGTATACAATTGAAATGGGAAAACGAACGATTTTATCTCGGATATCTTTCTTAAAAGTTTTAATCTTGCATGGTCTTAGTATTATCATTAAGGTTTTCGGCCCAAACTACTTTCGAAAAAGAAGTAGCTTTGGCAGTAGTTTGGGCTCCTCGATATTTTTTACAAGAATGAACATGAGATACGAATAATAATAATTCGAATTAAAATAAGAATTTGTATTTACGAATAGAAACTCTATGACTTTTATCCTTCTAAGTAATGTAGGTGGACTCATCTCAACTAGATCTCTATGCCATTGAATTCTGCACTAAAATTCCAGACATAAAAATGAATGTCAAAAGAAATTTTTTTTAGCCGGCTAAGCCGTTTAACAATTCCTTAGCCGGATAACATCACTAGCTATTGTATTATTATTAAGTTTTATTATATCTAACACCCCTCAGTTGCAGGTATTTAGTAACAGGAAATCTATTTTTATTACCACCACCTTTACTTTGCCTTCCTTCAAAATATGAACAGCAGAAGGCTCCCTCCTCTCATCATTGTATTATTACATTCTCTTATTATAATGTCTTCTTCTATTTTAAATGAATGAAAATGAAATCAATTTATTTACGCGAGATATTAATTATCACTTTTAATTTATTATATTCGGTTAATAAATCAATGAAAAAATCAAATATCCGATTCACTGAATATTCATTCACCTCTTAATTTTTTATCAACAGAAGATCCTGCTTACAAAGGACCTTGATATCGCATTAGGAAACATGAAAAATCTAAGTATAATTATCAAGATAAATCAGGTATCTATGCATCACCTCATATGGAGGATATCAAACAATTAAATAAAAACATAAAAGACAACAAAACTAAAGCATATTATAAACCACTAATATCATTTCAAAAGTCGCAGCTAATATCTTTATCTGGTAGCCCCAGGAATTAGCGATACGATTTTTAAAATCTTGGGTTCTATACTTTTTAGTAAAGCGATCAAAAGTTGTCATTGCAATTGATAAGTGAAATAATCACTACTCTTTACATAAAAACTATATTATTTCCACATTTGTGGAATTTACGCATGCGCGTACCTATATATATAGATCAGGAAAATATTGTGGAGATCAATATTTATATTATTAATATTAATATGTTTTTCTTAGTGCGCAGCAAAAAATTTCTAAAAGGGATCAAAAAAGAGAATCACGCACGAATTAAAAAAAAGTATATCAATATTAATATTAAAATAAAAAAGCAATACCATTCTATTTTACAATTCTATTCTGATTACTTTTTCAATTTTCTCACCAAATTCTAACGTAAAATACTCGTACCATTTTCTCTTTTAAAGTTGATTGATTGGGACACGAACTTAAAGAATAAAATTAAACTTCTTAAATAGATTTTAGGTTTAGTAACAAAATTTATATACAACGTATCACTTAAATCATTTTTTGTTAAGGGGGGATTTAATTCATATGTACGAGAAAACTTTAATTTTTGAATAAAATAAAAAACTATAAAATAATAATAATATGGACGAATTGTCTAAATCATTTTTTGAGACATCTCATTTTGATTCTAGACTGTCACCAGACTCAGAAATTATTAAAGAAGTCAGCAAATCATTGTCAGCTTCTTTATTCACTGAGCCTTTAAACATTAGCATTGGAAATCCTTGGGATTTTCCTTCTTCAATAAATGGAATCGATGTTTCCAACATTTTATGTAAGGTTTTTTTAAATAAAAAAATACTCAATAATTGCAATCACAATCATAATGAATATGATAATTTTATTATTATTTTCCATTATTAGCTGATGTTTATTTACCTGATGTATATGCAACTACATTTGCACTAACTTCTCCAAGTGGTGGGTCAGTTTCTATTTCAGCTTTAAACAAAATTTTAAATATTAGTGGTTTATCTCATGCAACAATCGAAAAGGTAATCCATCATTATTTTACTTGAAATGGTAATTGAATAATAATAATAATAACGGTGATGGTGATAATAATAATAATATATGTTAATAATTATTAGATTATAAATTTAGCAGTACCTGTTAATAGTACTTGTATCAACAGAGGAGAATTCAATGTTGCGCTTGCGTTAGTAGCTTTGGCACAAAAAAATATGGGTAAACAAAATTTGTGATTGATCTTTTAATTACTTAAAGATTTTGATGAGGGTGATGTTATTAAATATATTATTATTATTTTAATTTTTTTTTGTAGATGTTTCAATTGATAACCTGGTCGAGAGAAAACATGGTAGAAATAAATCTTCAATGTTATTTTATTTCATTTTAATTTTTACCAAAAAGAAAAAATAAACAAATAATCAATTACATTTGATCTAGATCTTCCCGAACCAATCCTTACAAATATAGAAAGTATCGATTTTAATCGCAATTTAAGTTTCTCTAATATCACATCTCGTCCATCATCAATTCCGGTTCTTCAGGATGATGATCCTTGGGCTATTTCATCAACAACGAATGGTATTGACATTATAACATCATCACCATCAACGTCTGCTGCAATAGGAATATCAGGATCAACTTTTTCACCAATCATATCAAATACAATAATACCACGATTTCCAAGTGATAGCAACGGTGCAAGTACTATTTTACCAAGTATTAATAGGACTTTGATACTAGATGATCGTGAGTCTCATTGGTTTCTAGATGCAGGTATCATTAAAGTAAAATTTGCTCCTGAACATGAAGGTTTTCTATTCAAACATGTTAATTACATTGTTGAATCACAGGTAAATGATCAATATATTTGAGAAGAAGAGATGAATAAAATATAAATATTTATTTAAATATATATAAATATAATTATAATACATACATAGAGACAAGAAAGTAAAGTTATAAGAAGATATAGTGATTTTTGGTGGCTAATGGAATGTTTGGTGAAAAGATATCCATTTAGAATCTTACCTATCTTACCACCCAAAAAAATTGGAGGTAACTATATTTGATTTGTACATATGTGTGTTATTTATATATAGGTGATTTTAAATATAATATAAATTAACAAAATTACTATTTATCATAGTTAACGTATTTTATTTCACACATGATGAAGCATTTTTGGAGAAACGGCGGAAAGGCTTGGCAAGATTTTTGAATTTTATTGCAAGACATCCAGTTTTAAAAAATGATGATTTAGTGGAAATGTTTTTAACCGAACAAACTGTAAATATCGATTAATTTATATATATATTATATTTATAATAGAACTACATTCATACTTTTTCATACTTTGCGATTTTATAGGAAATAGCAGTATGGCGTAGGAATAATGCACCAGATTTAGATGAAGAGTTTTTAAAAAAAGAAATTTCATCACAAATGGAACAACGCATACCTGGGGATTTGAATGCAAGGTTAGAAAGTGTATATAATAATTTGGATCAATCTATTGAACATTACTTAAATATGTGTAATTTCATGGAACGTATTGCTCGTTCTCAAGAAGGCACAGCATCTGATTATATGCGTTATAGTTTGTCTTTAAATTCATTGATTGAGAATGAGAAGGGTTGCTTCATAGAAAATTGTTGTAATTGTTCACAGATGATGGATGGTTTAGAACAAGTATCAAGTCATTTTCAACATGCAAGTACCATAATGGAAGATGCTGTAAGTAATTGATAACTGAATTATGAATTGTAATTATTATTATAATTAATATTACAAACGTCTTTAATGCTTATTTTATTTGTGAATCAATCAATCAATTAGGCTACATCTATTCTTGAAACTGTTCTTGAGGATTTGAAGAGACATCGAGATTTACTCTTGTCATTCAAGGTGTGATATTATAATTAAATTTTAAATAAATTTATTTATATCAATAATAATTTCTACCACTAATATCTATATAATATCTATTACATTAATATTTAATTAATCACTTGATCAATATAATATATACCAGGATACGTTTGAGAGAAGGGATAGATTAGTAATTGATACTAGTGAGACTCTTAATAATAGAATATCAATAAATCAAGCAAAACTTAAATCATTATCAAGCCAAAAAACATCAGATCCGGAAGTAGAGAAATTGGCATCTGCAATTCAAAAGGTAATATATATATTATATGCTTGTGTGCATACTTTTGTATGTATATGCTTGCATATTATAAACAAAATTATTATACATTCCTTATTTATATTTAAATATTTTCATTAAATATATATATTGTGCATATTAATATTCAATATGTCTCCGTCATCCCCATATCCTCATTATCTAATATTTAGCACCTAGTATTTATTCTAATATCTAATATCTATTCTCTAATATTTAATACTTTTCACACTTCACATTTTCTCGTATTTTAGGATGAAGGTGATCTTAAAGTTCAACTTAGAAAACAAAATTTTGTACGTTATTGTATGCATTCAGAACTCAATCTACTTCATAAAAGTTCAGCATTCGTCTCACTTCTATATCGAAACTTTATAAATGAACAAATGAAATACACACAGCAACTTTATAAAAATTGGGATGTACTAAATCCTAAAGTTCGTGATATGCCAATTGAAACCAACGGGTTTGGTTAATTTAGCACATTTTTGTTTATATTATATATATAGGCATATATATATATGCGAACGTTTATATATTTATTAATATTTATAAAAAAACTCAATGAGATTTAGTAAAGCATAAACAAAAATTGGTTATTATTATTATCTATAACTGACATTTTTTATTTCTTAAAAGAAAATTTCATTAAATGTTTTGACTAAAATATCAAGTAACTTCAAAGTTATTTACATATTTATATCATAATTGTTGATTCTTAAACTTATTTAATTAAACTAGCCTTTTATTTACATTTATTTCTTTGGCACAAATATCGGGACCCTGGAACAGGTTGAGAGGAATTAATTATAATTTATTTAATTATTAGTTTTTTATGTAATAACGGCCATTATCAAATGTGACAAAATAATTACCGGGAACAATAATTTCACAACATTAAAAATCATGATGCTTACTAAAGAATATGAAATGACAAAATAATTTAACTTGTTATTTTAGAAATATTTCTTACAATGGGTTGAACCATAATCTTTTGAACTTTTGTTGCCATCTTTACCTTGATATTTATTTATTATATATATTAAGTTTCTTCTAGTTATTAAAAAATATTGTATTACATTTTAGATTGGTTTGTCACAAGAGTCGTTAAGTCACAGATGATTTGATTTTATTTTTTTTTGCCTTGGATTCTTTTCCTTTGAATTAGTTCTTTTCTTTTTAGGGGTGTTCTCACAATCGGCAAAAAATTGAATTGATGTAGGAGGTGGAGTAGAACATTGTTCATTTAATTCTTTTAACAAATCATATGATTCACCATTATCATCATCATCATTATTCAGAATATCCAGGACTTGTAGGTTATTCTTGATAATAATCTATTAAAATAATTAGTATATGAAAGAGAAGTAAATAGCTTCAATAATCTTTTTCATACCTTGTATTGATATATCCTTGCTAGAAATTTAGGGAAAGATCTTAATCCATTTTTTGAGAATTTGCTATGTATGTTGAAAGATTGAGGATCTTTGTGAAAAATACAAATCGATCCTCTGGCACACCATAATCTTACAAATTGAATCCATAATCCAAGGTGTAATATACCAATTACTTGGAGTTTGTCTGCTCTTTGATCATCATAATTTACAGCTCTGATCAAATCAGAATACATATCTTGAAGAGACTTTGGCATTTTGAATTCTTCATCAAGATATTTATTGTCTGAGACACCCTTAAAGGACCTTGCACCTTCTATGGCTCCTAATTCGAGAAGCTCATCAGTTGTATATATTATTCCATCAATTTTATGACCAACAGACTTTCTTTTATGTGTATTTACTTTTCGATTTCTATTCTTCTGGTTAGCACCACTTGATGATGGTGCATCAATCCTGTATACAGTTATAAGCTATATTAAAAATATGAGTTGATGATGGTTTATTGTTTATACTAGTGGAAAATAGTTAACCTTTTAATATCAGTTCCCAATCTAATATCCCTAAGACAGAAGTCAATGCATGTTCCAAGAAGTGCAACTGTAAACCAATGTTTGTATTGTATTCTTATTAGAGGAGCATCTATGTTTTCATATAGATTTACAAGTGTTTGAATGGTCAATTGAATCCATTCTTTATCACAGGGTTGGCAAATTGACTGGTCCATTGAGAACAGATGGATTTTGGACTGGTCCATTGCAATTAATAAAATACTAAATATGGTCAAAGTATTACACTAATGGACCCAATGGACCACCAATAGACCATCAATGGACTGCACATTTGCCAACCCTGCTTTATCATAGTGTTTACAAATGTCATATTTTTCTTCTTGAAGAAATGATGTCATTGTTACTATGTGTAAATCCTCTAAAGTACTTTTTTCATCTCATCAGTTCTTTTGTAATGTTGTGTGAAATAATTGGAACCCCAATTTGATCTTTTGTTAATTCTTTCCATTCTGAATCAGTAAACAATGCTTTGATATTCTCATCATCAAAATCCACAATATACAAATGAGTGTGGCTAATCAAACCATTGTCAGTATATTGTGAATGGTAAGATAAAAGAATTTAGAAACTTACTGTTCATAATCCATGTCTTTAGAAAAATTAAAAAGAATATCCTCCACTATTTTGCCTGTGCTCAATTTCAACTTTGAGGTATCCAGGATAGCATCATGGGTCTTCTGAAAAACCATCTTGTCAATTTTTGGAGGATCCTTCTTACTTTCTAAAAAGTATCAATGTGAGAAAAAAGTTTAATTCCTCATTTCTACTTGTAAACCTGAATTTTGGATAACACAAACTTACATCAGAACTTGATCCTTTGGAAGTTGATTCATCAGAGTCACTTGTATTATAAAAGGAAATAAAATTGCAGTCTAAGAAAATTGAAGAATATCATTCAAAAGATAATCATACATACATTGGTATATAGTTTGAATCATTATTGTCCTAGAAAGGAATCACATCAATTAGAAATGAGCAATGAATATTAACAATTCACTTATTGTGAAAGTCACACTCTAACCTCCTCATTGAATGTTTTTTTGGAGTCGTCAATTATTATTCCCGAGTTGTTATTTAATTCCTGAAGTTCTCAATAAATTTTGTTGCCTTTACACCAGAAGGATCTTGGAAGAAAGTGCTGATCTGATGATGAGTGGTGATAACCACCACCATTCTTACGATAAACACTTACCCATATGTATCTTTTGTCTCAGTCTCTTTTCGTCTCTTTGCTTTTTGTGTTTTTTTTTGAGGCATTATTTTTTAATTTTAAAAAAAAAAAAACATGTAAAACAAAATATTATTATTGGCACTTGGTGTTGCACAGAGATTTTTTTTTTTTGGAAAAACAATTTATTGTATGTCTGCCAATGAAAATTGGCATTCTGAAATTTCAATTATTGCATTTTTAAACTCAGAGTATGGAAGT